ATACATGTTTTTGTTTAAAAAATAAGAGAGATACTATAGGAAAACATTCTTATGATGTTAAGATCTGAAAAGGCTCCTTAAATACCATTAAGATAAAAAAAAAAAAAAAAGCAGGTAACAATATGGGAAAAATATAACAAAAAAGGAAAGGTTCTTATCTAACAATATATAAGCAGCCATATAAGATTCAGCTACTGCCCTCCCCCCCACTTCTGAAAGAAAGGAGAGTGAAGGAAACGAAAGACTCAAGGAAATAATTAGTCTACAAGACTAATGGCCCCCACAAACCCTAGCCTCCTCTAGCCTGAGATCAGAAGAACTAGATGTTGCCAGGTACCACTACCAACTGCTCTAACCAGGGACACAACAGAAGGCCCCAGAACAAAACTCGAATTCATTAAAAGAAAAAAACAAAACAAACACTTTTCAGACTGACAGGTACTACTGCTGACTGCTCTGACTAGGGACACAATAAAAGGTTCTAGTTAGAATGTAAGAAAAATTAGAACAAAACTCAAATTCATAAAAAGACCAGGCTTACTGGATTAATAAAGATTGGAGAAGCCCCTCAGACTATCGCACTAAAACACCTTTCAATTTCAAACTGAAGCTACTCCTAGACATCACCTTCCAGCCAAATAATATATTGGCCTAGAATACAAATAACTCTCAGGAGTAGTGTACTGCTTTAAACAATCATCTATACAAGACCAAATGGGCAGCATTTGCCCAAAAGCAAAGATGAGAAAGCAAGGAGGGGCAGGAACACTGGATGGATGGAAATGGGGCAGTTGGGATGGAGATGTTGAGAGCGCTGACACATCGCGGGGATAGCAACCCATGTCATGCAACAATGTGTGTATATGTTGTTGAGCGGGAACCAAATTTACAGTGTAAATTTTTGCCTAAAACACAATAAAATATTCAGGAAAAAAAAAGTGGCTACTGACATGATATATCTGAATTTATTTTATAATGAATAAATAGAATGAACATACTGTGCTCTAAAAGGAGTCTTCCAGAGACATCTGCTTCTCTTTTCTTTAGCATTCAATTCAAATCCTGAGAAAATACACTATCTAAACTAATTTCAAATAGTGTTTTTGTGGTCTCATTTAGGATTTAAACATTTCCTGTTATGAGTGTCAAATAAGACATCTTGCTCTCTAGTCACCCACATCATCTTTTTACTATTCATAAAAGGAAATTGATGACATCTTTCTATTAGTATCTCAACAATGCCAATAATCTAAATAGATTAGCCAAAAGAGATGAATCCTAAAGGCTAGGAGGAAAAGGAAACTGCATGGAATCAGATATACCTTACCAGGTGCAAATATGTCTTTCTTTAGAGTTTAGTTCGTTTTCTAATTTGTTCTTCCACATGAAATCAAAGTACTCATTTCTGAATGGTAAGCAAAGAGACTATGAAGGGCCCTTGTCGTTGTTATTAAATGTCATCAAGTCGGTTCCTATTCATAGCGACCCTGTATAGGATTTCCCAGCCTGTACATCTTTGCAGGAGCAGAAAGCCTCAGTTCTCTCACAGAGTAGCTAGTGGGCTCAAACCACTGACCCTGTAGTTTGCAGTCCAGTGCTTATCCTACAGAGGCACCATACTCCCCATGAAGGGCCCTAGCAACCTTGTAATTACAAGAATAAAAGCATCTGGTAACTCAGTTTCTTCAGGGAAGGGTCAAAATCATCAAGCAAAAAAGTAATTGATATCAACTCTGTGTCGACTCACAAGGAATCATGAAAGCCCAATTTTAAGAACTCTTCAAGTACATAACCCCTGAATTTACCACACATGTGCCTTAAGACACACAGGTGACAAGATATTAAGAAAAGTCACCTTTTAATTGTTGGTAATGTCTCTTTATACTTCCTCTCTGGAGAAAGGCTATGCTTATAGATTCAGAACTTTGTATGATTATAATGCTGTTGGTGATAGGATAATATCCATATGCCTACAAGGAAGACCAATCAATTCCACTATTATTCAAATTTACACACCAACCACTAAGGCCACAGATGATGAAATTGAAGAATTCTACCAATTTCTTTAGTCTGAAATTGATCAAACATGCAATCAAGATGTATTTATAATTATTGGCAATTGGAATGCAAAGGCTGGAAACAAAGAGGAATGATCAGTAATTGGAAAATATGGCCTTGGTGATAGAAACAATGCTGGAGTCCGATCACATGGGAGAATTTTGCAAGACTAATATGACTTGTTCATTGCAAATAACTTTTTTACAAACGTAAAAGACAACTATACACATGGACCTCACCAGATGAAATACACAGGAATCAAACTGATTACATCTGTGGAAAGAGATGGTGGAAAACTTCCATATCATCAGCCAAAACAAGGTGGGACAAACTGCGGAACAAAGGAACATGACTCCTATGGAAATTCAGGCTGAAACTGAAGAATTTAAAAGAAGTCCATGAGTGCCAAAATATGATCTTGAACACATCCCACCTGACTTTAGATATCATCAGAAGAACAGATTTGATGCATTAGCACTAATGACAGAAAACCAGAAGCGTTGTGGGATGACATGAAGAACATTATGCAGGAAGAAAGTAAAAGGTCATTAAGAAGACAAAGAATGAAAAGACAAAAATGGATGTCAGAAGAGACTTTGCAATTTGTTTTCCAGCATAGAGATGCTAAGCAAATGAAAGAAATGAACAAGTAAACCAGCTGAACAGAGCATTTCAAAAGGCAGCTCGAGAAGACAAAGTCAAATACTATAGTGAAATGTGCAAAGACCTGCAGTTAGAAATTCTAAAGGGAAGAACACACTTAGCATTTGTCAGGCTGAAAGAACTGAGGGAAAAATCCAAGCCTTAACTTGCAATATTGAAGAATTATACAGGCAAAATAGTGAATGTTGCAGAAAGCATCAAAAGAAGATGGAAAGAATATACAGGGTCACTGTACTAAAAAGAAATGGTCGATATTCAACCATTTCAAGAGGTAGCATATGATCAAGAGTCAACGGTATTGAAGGAAGAAGTCCAAGTACACTGAAAGCATTGGTAGAGAACAAGGTCCAGGAATAAATTGAAATCTTTCAACAAACTGATGCATCACTGGAGGCACTCACTCATCTATGCCAACAAATTTGGAAGAGAGCTATCTAGCCAACTAATTGGAAGAGATCCACATTTATGCCCATTCCAGAGAGGTGAACTAAGGGAATGCCGAAATCATCTGACAGTATCATTAATATCACATGTCTAAGTAAAATTTTGAAAAGATAATCCAAAAACTGCTGCAATAGTACATTGACAACTGTTAGAGGTTTAAGCAAAATTCAGACAAGGATGTGGGACATGGGTTATCATTGCTGATGTCAGCTGGATACTGGCTGAAAGCAGAGAATACCAGAAAGATGTTTACCTGTACTTTTCTGACTATACAAAGGCTTTCAATTATGTGGATCGTAACAAACCATGGACAACACTCAGGAGAATGAGTATTCCAGAACACTTAATTATGCTTGTGAGGAACCTGACATACACCAAGAGGCAGTTGTTTGAACAGAACAAGGGAAAAGTGAATCGTTCAAAATTTGGAAAGGTGCGTGCCAGTTTGTATTTTTTCACAATACTTTTTCAACCTGTATGCTGAGCAAATAATCTGAGAAGCTGCATTATATGAAGAAGAATATGCATCAGGATTAGAGGAAGACTCATTAGCAACTTTCTGTATGCAGATGATGCAACCTTGGTTGTAGAAAGCTAAGAGGACTTAAAATACTTACTGATGAACACCAAAGACCACAACCTTCAGTATGGGTTGCATCTCAATGTAAAGACAACAAAAATTGTCACCACTGGACCGTAAACAACATCATGAAAATGGAGAAAAGATTGAAGTTGCAGAAGACTTCATTTTGCTTGCATCCACTAGCAACACTCATGGACACAGCAGTGAAGAAATCAAACATTGTAATGCATTAGGCAAATCGGCTGCACAAGACCTCTTTACAGTGTTCAAGAGTAAAGATGTTAGTTTAAGAACTAAGGTGTGCCTTGTCCAAGGCATGGTCTTTTCAATAGCTTCACATACATGTGAAAGTTGGAAAGTGATTAAGAAGACCATAGAAGAACTGATGCATTTGAGTTATGGTGTTGGAGAATACTGAAAGTACCATGGACTACTCGAAGAACAAACAAACCTGTGTTGGAAGAAGTACAGTCAGAATGCCCCTTAGAAGTCAGGATGTCTTTATCTATCATACTTTAGACACATAATCAGGAGGGACCAACGAAAAAGAAGACCCTCAATGAGATGGATTGGCACAGTGGCAGTAGCAATTGGCTCAAGCTTAACAATGATTGTGAGGATGGCACAGGATGGGGCAGTGTTTCGTTTTGTTGTACATAAGGCTGCTATGAGTCAGAACTGATTACATGATTATTAAATGTTACATCACCAATATTTAAATGATGGCATTATGCTAGACTTAGACCAGATAGGTCCAAGGTGAATCTGGCATATCTTGATAACTTCTAATTCTTTAATGGGCTTCTTTAAAGCAAAAGTTTTAAAGTCCATCAACACATTTGGCTAAAGGCAAGCAGATCCACAGCCCATTTTTTCATGAACATTCCACAAGATGCTAAATCAAAGATGTTTGTTTCTAATCACCAAGTACAACCTCCCTCTTGGGAGTCTATTAGGCTGCTCTGAATTTGTAATTTACTTGAAGCACTGACAATTTTAATAGGTATGTGTCTTACCTGAATATGCTCACTTCACTCTGACAGTGACAGAAAGCTCGCTAATGAAATCATTTGACCAGTTTCTTTCTACAAGTCTGAAGAAAGGAAAAGCTGCATTTCAAAGGCTGCATATTATACATAATGCAGTTCACTAAATAATAAATTCAGGAATTGTCATTTTCTTTGATAGTTCTGAGAACTGTTACCGATAAAGGAGCTTTACACATTTGCTGTGCCCTTTCGTCTTCATTTACCTGTCAGGATGCACAGAAGAGAGCACAAAGACGAGGAGAATGACATCCAGAATCCCATCTGGAAAAGGGTAGGGTAAGCCATCATCACATACATCGTGAACAAAGGCGGAACACTGGGCTGCTCTGTAGAATGAGTGGGACTGTCATGATAAAGGAAGAAAGAGCAAAAGGAGTAGTTAGCAGACTTCCAGTCTTTTTCTGTAAATAAAAAGGTCATTTTTTCCTCCCACCAGAGTGCCTTTCCTCTGTAATTTTGAATACATTTCATTTCCAAACCAATATTCTGTTAGATTATTTCAAACAGCCATCAAAATTTAAGTATAGAACCTTGACTTAACAACAAAATATTCTACAAAATCCCATTTAATTCTAAAAGTGAGGTAGGGTAGGCTGCACAAACCAGTGAGCAGAGGTGCGGGAAATTACCCTTTGCTGTTTCTGAGGCACTGAGGTGGTCCTCAAGGAGCCCTGGTGGGGCTGAGAAATTAGCACCAGGCTGCTAACTGCAAGGCTGATGGTTCAAACTCACTAGCTGCTTCACAGGAGAAATATCAGACTGCTCCCCAAAAGATCTACAGTCTTGAAAACCCTATGTAAGGTTGCTTTGAGTCACAGCTGATTAATGGCAGTGAGTTTGGATGGGAGATGGTCCTTAACTCACTCTCTCCCACTCCTTTTAAACTGTACTAGAATACACAGAGACTCCTGGTGTGGCACTGTAGGATCAGCACTGGTCTTTGAACCATAGGGTCAGCAGTTCAAATCAACCTGATACTCCTCTGAAACTCTATACAGGGTCACTATGAGTCAGATCCAACTTGAAGGCACTTAACAACAAAAACACAACAGAAGGCACACACATACCATTTGCCTATAAAACCAATACTTATTGTTGTTGCTATTAATTAATGACATTAATGTCATTTATGTTTCAACTAATAGTAACCCTGTATAGGGTATCCGAGGAAGAGCTGGTGGGTTTGAACCACTGACTTTGTGTTAGCAGTCCAGTGCTTATCCTACAACACCACAGCAGGACTCCCAAAACAACACTAGAAGGATATATACCAAAACATTGGCAGTGGTTTATCCTAGGAAGCAGGATGCTGTCCTAGTTAGTTGCCGTTGAGTTGATTTGGACTTACAGCAGGTATAGGGAACATCTGGTCCATGTAAGGCCCATGAATTATTTGCAATTCCAGCCATCATATTGTTATTGTTGTTGTTAAGTGCTGTCAAGTCGGTTCCGATTCATAGGGACTCTGTATGGGGTTTCCAAGAAGTAGCTGGTGAGTTTGAACCGCCGACTATGCGGTTCAAATTGACTTTGTGGTCCAGTGCATTATCCTGCAGTGCTACCAGGATAACCATCATTTTAGGGGTGAGTTAATGAAATGTTTGACCAAATACAGCAAACTCATTTTTAAGGTGGTAATTTTGTATAGCCCATGAACGAGCTTATAAATTTTGGCAGAAAAAAGGTTTCCTACCCTTTTACGAAT